GGGTTGTCACCTCCTTCCTCGCGCCATCCTACCTCTCCCCGTCAATGCGGGTTTTTTTAACACCGAAGCTGTGCTAAGTCGTCCGACCATTCTTCTCTAAATGAAATCATGGGGCACATCCAGTAGTTGGATTTGCCAATATCAACCCGTCAATGCTGAAGTAACTTAGTACAGAACCTCTTGCAATAGATGTATGCTAAAAGACGTACCTCTCCAGCCGAAAGTAGGTCAGGATTGGGTCAGGATGCCACGAAAAGTGGCCAAAACATGAGATATGTGGGTCAAAACTATTTGCCAACTGTGATAAGTGCCTTCTACCAGAATCGAACTGGTGATCTTATCCTTACTAGGGATACGCGTTGCCATCTGCGCCAAGAAGGCTTACGTAAGCATAAATTATGCTGCAATATGATAAAACGTTTTGTAAAGAATATAAGCCAATAACAATGGATAGTCGAGTTTGAGATTTCTTCGTTGTAGCAAGAATATATCATATCAACCTCATGGTCTTGTCTGCCAACAAGTTTGGGAACTGTATCGCGTTTCAACCATGGTCTTGTTTATGACCAATAGCTAACAAACCTAGTGGCCTTGTAGTCTTCCGAAGTTGATAAATTCAGTAGCTTCTTTCATGGTGGATTATTCCATCGCTATTTATTATCAACCCGAATGGTGAAAGTGGGCCAAGTCTCTCATAGACCACGAGCAGTCTTCATCACCAAGCAAAGCGTCTCCACTACAATTCCGTAGTCCTCCACGTTACGACCGTCTAAAAGACCCTCCTCCTTCTCCTCCTTCTCCTCCACCCCGCCGCCAACGTAGTCGACGCCAAGTCGACGCAACCCCGTACGCCACCCGCAGACAGCCAGTCTGATGGCTCCGCGGCCCCTCCAGCGCGTCGGCGTCACGTACATACGGCCGGTGGCGTTGATGGCCTCGGCCAACCGCTCGGCACCGGCAGGCTCGTCGCGGAACTCGTGCGGGGCGGTGTCGCCGGCGCGGAATAGCACGACACTGGAGCGCGGGCGGTCAGCCACCGCGTTCGCGCGCCCGGCGCCGCCCACGAGGGCGTAGTCCCCGCCGGACTCGCCCGCCATCCAGCGGCCGACGAGGTCGGCGAAGGCGGTGCCGCGCTCGAACATGGCGAGGTAGCCGTCCTGCCCGAGGGCGACCAGGCTGGCGTAGAGCGGCAGACCGCGAAATCGCCTCGAATTCTCGATCCCCAGCGTCAAGGGCTGGGGGAGCTGGGGAAGAGGTGCGCTGCGTGGATCGTTGCCGCCGGGTGCGACGGTCGTTTGGCGAAGGTAGTCCGGAAGCGCGAGGCCGGTCGCTGTTGTGGGGGTGAAGACACGCTGCAGGATTCTTGGGGTGCGGGTGTAGAAAATGCCGCAGTCGTACCTGTGTGGTGGGAGGTAAGTGAATGACGGCTTCCTGTCGCAGGATTACTGACGGGACATTCAGCCATTTGTGGCCGTCGGTGGTGATACTGTCCGCAAGCTCGAGATCCGCGCAACCAGGGGAAAACATTCCGAACGCTAAATAAAGTTTGGTACTGGAAGGCTCAATGTACGAAGACTCACCGGCATCGATATGTAGCCATGCGTCGTATTCGTCACAGAGCTTCCGTACAGCCGCCATGTTGCTGGTAAACCCGCCTGTGTTGACCTCTCCAAAGCTCGCAACAACGATGCAGCCGATATGTGAGTTATAGGCTTGGCGAAGATGATGTTCAAGCGCTGCAAGGTTAAAATCACCGGCTCCTTCATCGGTGTCGGCGCCTGTTTCCCAAGAGATTTGGCCGGTTGCCCACTGAGACAGGTCTGCGCAGTGAGATCTTCCAATTCCGACGAGAGACGCGGCTTTGCCCACACTGCCGTGGCCGTCCGCATGCAAGACTTGAAGTCCTGACAACTTTGCAGGACCGGTTACAGCAGACAGAATGCCCTCGTCTGCGAGACTGAATGGCAAAGCATCCAGGTCCCTGTCGGGATCAATGCGGTGGGGTCCCAGCGGCGCGGAGTTCCCATCGGCACCCGTCGT